ACTCTCCGCATGACAAGTAAAGTCCACCACAGTTCTTCTCCCAGAAAGGAAAATCCACACCACTTGATCTACACATGGATGTTTGGAGACTAGTATTTCTTACCTCCTTGTGCGGGACAACCACTTACCCTCACTTCTCCCTGGTAGGAATGACCACCTGGTCTGTTCATATCTCATATTAGAAAAACCTGCAATCAATGTTTGACAGAATTATTTATTATTACTCATTACCAGCTATGAAGAGTCATCAATGGAGAAGGTTCCTTAGCATCCAGATCATTAAGTTTTAAGAGACCTTTCAGTGCTCACCTACTTGTCAGCAATGTTCTACCCCAAGACTTTGATTACTAGAGGTACAGTGAGCTTCCGTGGCTAAAATTTGACGCATATAAGCGGCTGCTTGCCTTTTTCTGAACTAGAAGTAAAATATCCTTTTCTTCCCTGTGGCCAGGTCTTACCTGGCTGACTTTGTTTCTTAAATTCAGCAGCCTCTTATCACCATCCCTTTAATTGGAAGACCTTCGTTTCACCTGAAAATAGAAAGAGAGCCTTTAATTCCTGCCCACTTGCTGTGAGGAGGTGCCTTCCTTACCTCTTGATAGGAATGATCAGTTCCACTTATTTCTTGACATTTGATAAATAAGCAACAATGATCACTTCTGTACAAATAGAATCGTTTGGACAATTTATATCTGCAAATGCGAGACCAGGTGAAATGCTCATCTTCACACTCTGGTTAGCTGCACTTTTTGGAAGGAAAAAGGAGCAAAGATCATCATCATTAGTTAGAATTACTGATTACTTACATCTGAACCAGTAGCTCCCATTTTTATTGCTTTATTCAGTAAAGCAACTTCTTGTGCTCTTTAGAGATGAAGATTTCATCAGTTACATTTCCTCCACCTGAAAGTATGAGCAGAATCAGTTATTATTATGGGAATGGCGTATTGCATTTCTTACCTCCTTAAAAGGATGGATCAGCTAATTCCTGGATTGAACAACTGGCAAGTCCATGTTGCTTTGTCTTGCGTCTGCTTTTCATACTCTCCGCATGACAAGTAAAGTCCACCACAGTTCTTCTTCCAGAAAGTAAAATCCACACCACTTGATATACACATGGATGTTTGGAGACTGGTATTTCTTACCTCCTTGTCCGGGACAACCACTTACCCTCACTTCTCCCTGGTAGGAATGACCACCTGGTCTGTTCATATCTCATATTAGAAAAACCTGCAATCAATGTTTGACAGAATTATTTATTATTACTCATTACCAGCTATGAAGAGTCATCAATGGAGAAGGTTCCTTAGCATCCAGATCATTAAGGTTCTAGAGACCTTTCCGTGCTCACCTACTTGTCAGCAATGTTCTACCCCAAGACTTTGCTTCTTAGAGGAACAGCCAGCTACCCTGGCTAAAATTTGAAGCATAGAAATGGCTGCTTGACTTTTTCTGAACTAGAAGTAAAAGATGCTTTTCTTCCCTGTGGCCAATTCTTACCTGGCTGACTTTGTTTCTTAAATTCAGCAGCCTCTTATCATCCTCCCTTCAATTGGAAGATCTTCATTTCACCTGAAAATAGAAGTAGAGCGTTTAATTCCTGCCCCCATGCTGTGAGGAGGTGCCTTCCTTACCTCTTGATAGGAATGATCAGTTCCACTTATTTCTTGACATTTGATAAATAAGCAACAATGATCACTTCTCTACAAATAGAATCGGTTGGACAATTAATCTCTGCAAATGCGAGACCATGTGAAATGCTCATCTTCACACTCTGGTTAGCTGCACTTTTTGGAAGGAAAAAGGAGCAAAGATCATCATCATTGGTTAGAATTACTGACTACTTACATCTGAACCAGTAGCTCCCATTTTTCTTGCTTTATTCAGTAAAGCAACTTCTTGTCCCCTTTAGAGATGAAGATTTCATCAGTTACATTTCCTCCACCTGAAAGTCTGACCAGAATCATTTACTATTATGGGAATGGCGTATTGTATTT